ACATCAGAAAGGAACAAATCCCATTGGCACATACAGTGGAACTGGGATTAGTTTGAAATGATTTCTTGTTCATTAGGTTATTTTTTTTAATGTAAATTCCTTTTTTATAAATGAAATAGTTTTAATCTTATAAATAGACTTTACAATGATTTTATAATTCCTATATTTTACATCTAGAAGAGACCACCACGACCACTTGATTCGATCAATCAAAGGCACTGTTTATTTAAATTTCACAGCAACTAAATTGCTGATGTTTGCAGTAGTCCTGCCTTGACCTCTACCTGGACGGCGTTATGATATTTTCTTCACTGCTGAGATCAAGGCATATACGGTCGAAGGAATATCATATTTTATTTAGACACACTGCAGAAGGACATTAAATTTTACAGGTCAGATTCTCCATGGTGCTTGAGCAAAGCTGGGGCTGTAGAGAAGAGCAAACGGCCAGCTTACTGCCAAGGTGCAGCTTCCCTTTAGCCATCCAGAACAAACATCCTCAGCCTTGTTGTGGCTGGACAGGTCCCTCAGCCCAACAAACCCTCTGTCCACACGGATTTTAGGGGGATGACAGCTCACAGTGGCTACGATACTGCCTTGTCCAGCACCACTTTTTAACAGATTCAAGTCCCGCAGCAAGACAAAGTCCCATTGTACCAACAGTCACAGAAGGGGATGGCAGCTCTGCCAGCCTTCATTAGGCTTTTGTCTGCCTTGAGAGGTCCTTCACACAGATGGAGGTCCCCACCTGCCATTCAGAGGCACTCTCAAGTCACCCCATGCCCAAACATTGTAAATGTACTTAAAGGTACTAAAGCAAGTGTCAGTGAGTCAACCTCACAGTTCGGGTATACAAAACCATGACCATTTACCCGCTCTGGCCACCCCATGTTAGACCTCCACCTTACTAGCAGCAACCATTACAACCACATGATGCATGTATTTCAAGCATAACTATGAACTCAAATATGAAATAAGGTCCTGACTCATCCCACCTAAGGCATCTGAAATTGCTACATCCAGAGTAAAGGCTCTGTACTGCATGGCCAGTGAGAACAGACAAGACATCTCCTGTCAATGTTGCAGCCCTGAGAACACAGGTGACCCCCTGGGCATCAGAACCTGTATTTTTGACTGTGCAGCTACAAGCCTTCACCAGCCGGAGACGTTCAGCTCTCCCTGCTGCAGACATAGAAACAACACTGATGCACAGACAGATAAATGCTAGGAAGGCACCAGGATCAGCTTCATCTTATCTGGGGCAATTTTTCAGCCATATAATGAAATAAACATCTCTTGGGGACCTTAGAACAAAACGTTTTTTGGTCTAGCAACCACGCCTCCTCCTCCAGGTTCCACGTGGGCTCCGAGTCTAATCTCATCCTCCTGCAAAGACACCAGCCAAAGCAGGGCCACCCTGAACTCCACTGACTGCTCCGCAGCTGCACACTTCAGGCAAAGCAGCATTCAGCTGTGTACGCCTATTACGGCTCTAACACTAGAAAGAGAAGTGGAACAGACAACCAAAGTAATTTAATCTAGCAAGATAATTCACTTCCAGTATTACCCACTACCCCCTCCCACTGCCCCAAATGAACCAGTGACAAGTGCCCAGCCTTTTCCTAATGGAAAGGAACTGCATGCCCATTATCTTCACCCTTCACTCCATATGAATTGTAGAAATGTCTGTACCCGATTCTGAGCTTATTGACATCACTGTGAACAGGGACAGCTTCCACAGGAGTAACTAGCTGCTAGTACTGTAAAGCAGGACAGAGATCTGAATTGGGCACCTGTTAATTAATGCAACTCTCTGAAGTCAGATTTCACTTTCTTGACATTTTTTCTTCTTGCTGCTGCTGTTGGTTACTGAAAGCGTGAAGCTCAACATGTCAACCCACACAAGACTAAAGCCTCTCCTCTATTCCTCTCTGACCTCACCCTGCTTCCTTGAAGGCATGTATAGAAGATAAACACAAACCTGCTCCGTTATGCGTAGTGACTTGAGACATAAAAAGCAGGAAAATTCCCCCCAACTCAAGATTTTCTCAGTGAGGTATCACCATTTATCCCTTCTATAGACTACTTTTCAGAGCAGATACTTCTTTAAAGTACTCCCTGTCCTGGCCAACAAAGAAGAAAATAACATCTGCAGCTATGGAAGTATCTAGGCTCTTTCTTGAAAGTCAGGATGTGATATATAAATACAGATTATTAAATCCTACACATAAGACTATTCTTCGCTCCATGAGTTTGGCACTGACTGCTTCTTGCATTCAAAGTCTGTACCCATACCTGGGCGCAGCTGTGTCAGCCTGATGGGCAGTTCCCTATCCATCCCTCATCTGAAGGGTTGCCAGCACTTCTGTGGAATGAGGTTGGGAGGTCAACTACACGCCCCTCTTCCCACAATGTCTCACACCTGCCAGGAGACTGAATTTGTTAATTTCTAGTAATGGCAGGCTTTCACTAGATCTCCTCCGTAATTCTTAATCAGGCATTTGTATGTGGTCTTACCAGTGATGGATGTAGTTGCTTAGCCCTGACTCTGTTGGTTCACTGCCAGCAATCCACAGGCCAGGCAAGGTGGGAAAGTGGTATGTGTTATGAAGTACCATGAAAGGGAGGGAAATCTGAGTTGGATTTAGTGCATTTTTAACCTACAAATGTCAGTAAATGTAGAGAATCCAAACTTCTCTCATCCCTTCTTGTTCTACCAAGGGTGGGATGCAGAGCACGACAGCAGTCACCCCACTTTTATGCTTTCCACGGCTCTACCTTTCCCACCACTCAGGTTATGCAGCTGAGCTCCCTGTACATCACCCAAGCTCTTCTGGGTCACTAACACAATGCCCTTGATGTTATCACTGCAATGATCAACCTCGAAGCACAAGGCGATGATCGTTTCCCCAACTCACCTTCACAGCGCATTTGTTCCATTAGGCTTGAAAATGAGAGGATAAGGCAGGCTAGGTTTTCCTGCTCAGTAGGTTTTTGCTTCAATCTAATTAAAAACATTCAGCAATTCACTGAAGTTCCTTGCAAACTGTGCATCTCATGCTTTAAAATAAGCTCTGAAAGCACAAAGTCTGGTATTTTTTTTTAAATGCACTCCCCAGATGGAGAGGATTCCTCAGAAATTCCTTTGTGAAACTCTACCGAAGCTGCTGAACCAGAAAAGTTTAGCTTCTTCTGAACTATCTTGTTTTTGTTGTTATTGTTAATGGCTTTTTTTCCTCGTCTAAAAGCTAACAAGGAAAGCCACTCTTGATTCTCTGACATGCAGAGAAGTGACAGTACAGCTCACTGGAAACAGGCAGTTCTGGTCACCTTGGTCTGAAACTGGGTCAGGGATGCCAGCTTGTGCTTATACCCAAGGAATATGCAAGTAATACTGGATTCAGATGCTGAGGACAAGATCACCCTTTATCTCGCAGGCAGAACTCGGGTAATTCAGCTTTAGTGCTCTGAGAGAAGGCAGCCTCCTCACAGCTAAGGCATGTTTTCTGTGCCATTTTTTAAAAAGGCCTCTTTTCTGGGAAACGTGTCCGGGGATCTATGGGAACAGCCAAGCCAAGCCCTGCTCTGCCATATCACCTTAATCCAAAGGCAAGCTACCACTGGGAGATGGCGACTGCTGTGTATTATGTTGATGCTTGTGGGAGAACAGGCACCGATGGAAAGTTGATCCAGCTCCAGGGTTAACAGCGCTGGAGAAATTCAGTGGGAAAGACTAAACAGACTTATTGTGTTATGCTTGTAACTGCATCCCTAATACTGAACACAGACCTTCTGCCTGCCAAGAGTCACTCCAACCTGAGGAACTGCAGCAGAGCGTGGTGCACACAAAGAGCTTGTGAGCATGTCAGGAAGGCTCTTGCCATCAAACAAGTGCTGAAGGATCCTCTGGACCACCTAGCTATCACACCACCAGCTCCCAAATTCAGCCTTTCTCAGGAACTGTCACCAAATGTCTCAAAAAAATGTCTGCCCTCATCTCCAAAAGCAGAGTGCCCTTAAGCTGTACAGCGGAGAACAAATTCCTTCAGGGTTGTAACAACCAATTAAGGGATGTGAAGCAATTACTTTTATACCCATACAAATGAAACTCCTCCAATGCAATTAAATATCCCTTATCATCTACTGTTGAATTTGTGGAAAGCATATGCTGCACACTCTCTTCTTCCCTAGCCTTTCCACAATTTTAATCAGTTTGTTTTAGCTAATGTAATGGAACCTACCTATTGTAGAGAAATAATATATAGCTGCAAATTATCTGAATATTTTGCAATGTCTTTTTTCATGTTAAATATAATTTCATTTGAGATTTTGCAGCCTTCATTTCTATTAATAAATTATAATTTCTTCTTTATAAGTGATGAGCTAATGTGTCATGTAATTTTTTCCTCTAAATAGACTAAGACTTTGATCTAATGCAAGCCCTTGCTGGGAGTAGAGAGACTTTCTGTCTAATTTAGTTATGAAAAATATTCAATTAAACTTGGGAGTTTAATTCATTTAGTTATGAAAATTAAATGAACTCAATAAGGTACATTTGATTCGCCTCAGGAAAAAAAAAGATAAGAATCTCTGAAAGGGGAACAAATAAAACAAATAAGAAGTGAGAACAAAACTAACTTTTACTGATCACATTGAAAGGTGGATAACATGAAGAGCCGGAGTCCCGTTTTGTGTGCCTATATAAAACATACCTACAATGAGTTCATACAAAATTTATACCCAGAAGCCACATGGATACCTGGTATTAACACCCTAATTGTCTCCTGAGTAATAAAAATCCCCGTAGGTCATAACTGAGTCCATCCCAGTCAAGGGGAGATCCTGGCTCCTCATACTGGGACTACACCACTCACACAGAACTCTTCTCCATCTCCTTTTGGGGAAAAAGGAAAATACTGGAATTGTTTTTCAAAACCACAACAGAGCAACGTGGATCTCTCCGACAGAAGCTCCCTTCTAGTTCTGCAGCTGTCACTTACCATTTTTGCAGATAGGACAGCACTGATCGGGCTCATACACCGGGTCCACACACTCCGTCTGGGGACAAGCTGAGACAGTGCACAGCACCTCTCCATTGGCTTCACAGCGGCACTTCTCACAGGGAGAAACCTGAAACACAAATCCAGTCATCTTTTAACTCTTTCACTTTATGCTCTCCTGAAGTGTGCAAAGCCTGCCTTCCCATCTGCACTGTTCTTTCCTTCATTTCTTTTTTGCCCTGACCCCGCCCCCCCTTAAAAAAAAAAGCTTTTTGAGGTCTGAATAATGCAGAGTGAAGCTGGGCTCCTAAAAAAATTACAGAACTGCAGCAGAAAAACCCCACAGGGTCTGCTCTGAACCTGTGCAACAAATGGGAAAGTCAAAGGGTTCTATGGAACAAGAACACTTTAGACTTTTAACAGGAATA